TTTGTTCTTACTCTGATCTAAGTTCTTTCACCGATAATCTTGATCAAATTCAGTCATTCTCCTCCTCATCGGGGCTAACCCCGAACCCCAGTAAATGTGCTGAGTGTTTATATAGTTTTTCTCGCTCTCCATATCCGACAGACCCCACTGTGCTTAATAACAATCCTTTATCCAAGGTGAACTCTGTCAAATATCTTGGTGTAACCATGGATAGCAATCTTCATTGGTCAACCCACATCCACAACTGCATTGGTAAACTGCGACGCCTTTCATTTCAAATACGAAAGCTCAGGCAGTTTCGTGCATCCCAGTCAGTTATTTCTACTTTTGTTTATCAATATGTTTTCCCCATCTTACTCTACTGTTCCCCGGTTATATTTCCTGGTTTACTCAAACAGGATTTCAAAGTCTTACTCCACGGTCTAACCGTTATTGGTCGTGTCTCTTCCATTCCTGTGAATGAATTGGCTGTAAAGCTTCCAGAGTATCACGTAACTTCCTGTGTGAAATTTGCCCGAGAGGATTCTCACAGATCCGGACCACCCAGTGCATGTAGAACTGACACTTAGTCATTCCTATCATTTAACACGCTCCCAATTCCGCCAAATTTCATCTCGAATTAATGCATACCGCAATTCACCCATACCGTATCTTGCTCGTCTATTCACAAACAAAGAGCAAACAATAAGTGAACTTTGTCTTAACCTTGGATTATGAATGTCCCCACGCCTCTGAAAACTTTTCTCCCCGTTGATTGTGTACATTGTGACGGTTCGCGTGTATGATTTTTTTAAACTGAAATGTGAGCTCCAGTGCTTGAAAAAGTTATACACAATACAATACAATAAGTTGTTGAGGTTGAACCACCAAGTGGTTAACGCATCAGATCAACCACCTGTTGTCTCAATTCTAATCCCTACGGATTCTGTCGCATGAATACTGAACTGATGGTCTCTGACAGGCGGGATGAAGCAGCTGTACAGTGCTTCCAAGGCGTTCCATTAGTGCGGGGTGATAAATTGATTCTGAATGACAACTGCATTTTTATAAGCCATGCCTCAATTTCAGTCCCTAGACATTCAAACAGACATGGTAGGCGATCTGCGCAACTGTTGGAACACATCTGTTTTTCTTCCATCAACCATGAATCAATTTGTCTATCTTATCCTTGTGGGTGAGAGTTTAATGCAGACATTGCATCTCACAAATCTCGCAAGGATGGATTGTTCTGCACCAGGTATAGAAAAAACGAAAAGCAGCCCGATCAGCTGTCTGGCAAGCGAGTGGGTAGAATGCTTGCGTTCCATCTGTGAGATCCCAGGTTAGATCCTTAGTTGGGCCAATCAGGTCAAAACAGTTCCTGAATAGCCAGTTCGGACTGTCATTTGCTCTGTATACGACGAAAATTACGATATAATGACTAACGGTCCTTTACTACCATCAAATATATTTATTTCAAATTTCCCATCATTAGTATCACTATTAATTCTTAATGTTTCGAGCGCCCTTGGAAAGCCCTGGTCACCATCCCCCCAGTGAGACGAGAGGATAAGAAGAGAGGCATTTGAACCACCTCCATAACTCCCTAGTCACGTAAATCCCACCAAACAGGACATAGCCCCCATGAGTTCCGGTGTTTACAAATCACCCGTTTGCCATACAGTCGGGTTCTTTTATTAACCGAACTCTGACTGAGTTGTCATGAAAAACAATTGCTTCATATTAGGAAACTTGACAGTAAATGGTCCACAAAAAAATCATGTATTGAAGTTTTCAACCGAAGGTGATTACATCATCATTTTTTGGACATTCAGCTTAGACCCCAAACAAGTGGAACAAAAATCAATGACGAGCGGTACTACGGGGTTAGTAGCACCGAATGGGTTAAGCATCCAAGGCGTGAAATGCACATCGGTGACCAATCAAGATGTCGACCACTGTCACAACCAGGACAGTTGAGGTTCGTGTACCTCTAATTGGTTGATTTGGAATCTGAGCTTCTAGCCAAGTTCCACAGGTGAACTACCGGTTCTTCACCAACCCAGTTATAGATCTTGCTGTTGGTTTTTCGTTCTTCCACTGTAGCGGAAAAGCACCTCTCCCACCTGAAAATAGTGAGCAGAGCTTTTTCAGCAAAGGCTAATCAGGACTATTGGTAGTATGGGAGCAAGGGAAGGGTCACCAGGGACCACCCTAGATACCTACCCCCTGAAATAAAGAGTATTTGTAGTCATCTAGTGTGTACAAATATGATGGCCCCGATCCATTCGAAATGCATAGTGATTTAATATCAAATAAAAACCCACGGGAGCATTGTAAATAATCATTTTAAGAGAATCGCTTTCATAACTCTGGCAGAACGCAAATAATAAATGATAGGACAGATACAGAAGAACACACAAACCATATAACAGTGTATTACGATCAGTGTGATGACAAAACATGCCGAAGGAGTGTGGGTGGGGAGTGGTGTGGGGAGTGTGGGAAAGGGAGGGGGAGAGGAGAAAAAAAACATAAAAAGAGTTCACTTACTTTCAACCGAAAGCAGACTAGGCCATATCGCGCATCGTTCACGATTTCGAAACGGTCATCAGACAGCAAAAGTTCCTCAAAATGTTTGGCCAATGTCACATGCTGTAATCATGATTAAATCACCGACAGTTAAATAAATCCCATAAAAGTGGTGCAAGTTGTGATTGAAAACTGTAGACTGAGAGTGCTTTGATATCAAATTAAATTTAATTAGTTATTTCAGCGTTGTTCGTTTCAGTTCGAACGAGAAGTCTTTCGGAATTAACAAACAAATGAAATTTTTGCTACTGTTGTGGCAAGCAATCTGTTGAGTTGTTTTGCACTATTGCTCCCTCCCTCCCTCCCTGCCTGCCTCTGCCTTTACTCAGTTTACTGGACTCCAAACCTCTCCCCCATTTCGAAGCACAAGACACACACGAACTTGCGTGGTGTGCGCAATACGTGTACTTACTGGGCACATAAATCTTCGATCATTAGTTGCAGCCACAAATAATCCGACGGACGATCCTCAAACATGCAACTCGGTATCTGGAATACATTGATTCACCCGGTTGGATTCCACTTAGGCCTCGTTCCGCATAGTTTGACTCCTCAAGTAAGGGTGAAGAAAAACTGAGCACACAGCAGTAGCTTAAACCGGACTTTTCAGCTCCGATGAAACGTGCAATCGACCACAGACCATACATATTACGTTCCTGCTCATATGGATCCAGTTTCACACATTAGATACTTCGTTTCTTTCACGTTTAGATTCATAAAATAAGCAAGTGTTCACAGAAAAGCACTTGATGAAAACTACTCAGTGCAACCACAACATGGACGGGAGTTGGTCCGTTGTTCGCAGATCTTCGACTTTCTGAGTGTAGTTAAGTCAACACAGGGGACAGATGGAGAATAGGCTGTGGTTAACGAAGGAAACCCACTAATTTGTGTTAAATATGTACAGGTATGAGATTTAGACTAGGTGAAAGAAGCAGGTGCACAGTGAAGGTGATCAAATGACAAAAGTGACGTGGAATGATGAATCAGTTCTGGTCATTTTAGACGGCTATCACTCTTAAACAGGTCTGGTGACAGTGGTCGCGTCCGGTAATTAGTCAAACAAATTTATTGTATTCGATTGTTCGGAACCCGGTACCATTGGTTGCTTTTCTCAGGTTTTGGTTGCTGGCCTTTCAATGACAAAGCACAATTTTAGAATAATGTCATACCTCAAATAAATGGCAGTAGAAAGATTGTTACACTATCCTATTGATTCCATCTTTTCAGTTCACTTTGTACACCGATGAAATAAAAATAAATGCGCGTTTGATTGGGACTAGTGAGATCATCAAATTTGTGCACCCAGTCGAGTGCATATATGAAAATCAGAGAATAATGTTCTCTACTAATCATCGAATGAATGTAAAAATCGATTTATAGTGGATGTCTGCCATATACTCTCAACCAAGCACATAAACACCTCTCCTCGATAACTTACCAGACGGATCAGATTTCTGATATGCTCCAAACCGAACATGCGCATGACGAACCACAGTTTCAACGCACGAAAACGACGTCCAAGATTGATGCTCCAATTCTGTTTGCGATAGAAGTAACGGTATCAGTTTGCGCGGACGCGAATCACAGTACTTCGCGAACAGGTAAACTATTTGCTATCTTATTATGACGGTATCCGAGAAGTGCGGGTTTATAGTGTGTAAATGGTCTGCGGTGATTCACGCTGTTACTCGGGCCAGTTGCTTACCCACAATCATTAATCAAAAATAAACAAAATTGAACAGACTGACGAAATTAGCTATACAGTAGGTGTAACTGGTGGTCTCACTGAAATGTACAGAAAGGTGATCAAGCGTGTGGAAAAATTACTTTAACTACAAAACAATCCATCGAAGCAGGTGAAAGTATGGGGCAAGCAAGGCTGCAGTGTCTCAACGGATTCTTCAATCAGGTCATTGTGTTCCAATTCCACCATGGTCGAAGTTTGAATTGGTAGTGCGGTCCCAGAAGACCAGTGTTACACAGACTGGTTGCCGAGATTTTTGTTAAACGGGAGATTCACTTGAAGCTACAGTGGTTCCATTTCAAGTTGAAAGGCTAATGAACAACGAAATCGTCTAATAATCGTCTATTTAAATCGTCTACTATAACTGGGGTTACTCGGATTTCTGAATGTTGGTCAGGATTATTGCCCACGGAGTAAAATTTGATGACTTGGTTACACGAAATGTACTGCATGTCGTGTGTGAGAAAGATATTTTTACAGGCACAAAAAATAATTAAATTAAACCAACGACAAGACAGGACAGTCATTTGCGGTCTACTGTGACAACGGTTTGGTAAATGAACGAAATGCAAGTGTCAAGCGTTTTGAAGAACTACTTTCGAGAGACATCAGGAGTATGTGGCAGTATATTTTAATCTTATGAAGATGATTGATATTAACCAATGAATTATCAAGTGAACTAGTGTAAATCTGTGAATGTATTTTCAGCCATACAAAGCAGACTAATGGTAAAAGGAAGATGTCAATTGGGCTATTTTAGAAAAAACACGAAAATGGAGTGATTGTTGTCGTTCAAATGCTGAAAGAAAATAGGGGGGAAGTGAATGAGGCAGCTTACTCTGTACTCGGGCATACTGTCACAAGTATCCCTTAAATAGACCGGATCTTCTCGGAACGTCTCGGACAGAACACGATAATCACGGAGCCACAGTATGGAACAATCGAAATTGACTAGCATTAATTTGTGGGGATTGAAGCAGAATGAGTCGGCAAACTAAAAACACAGGGATAATAATTAGGTGATAGAGCAGCGGGCTTTTGGAGTAGGTGATCAAATTTTCAATTAGCAAATTCAATCAGACAGAGCACGCAATCAGGATAAATCTTTTACGTGCTCTGAGGAAAGCTAACAGGTCAAGCGAAAAAGCGAGGCAACTCACAAGAACAGCAGCAGCAGCAGCAGCAGCAGCAGCAGCAGCAGCAGCAACAACAACAACAACAACAACAACAACAATGAACAACAGCTACTCGTACTGTTATTGATACCACCACTGCTAATTCTTTAATCTACGCTTGAATGTGTCACGGAAATTAGACACATAAAGTTGCATTCCGTGATTATTCGTGGCCTAATCAATTGTGAGGTTAGCCTTGTGAGACGCTGCACGCGACAGAATTGGTGCCTCCTCACTGAACGGCCTAACACCACAAGGTAACTAAAATTTCATGGAGCCAGTTCCCTTTAACATTTTCACGAGGGCAAGAAGAAGCCTCATGATCACAGGGTATGCTGAATTCAACAGTGACACATAACAGGGCAGCGCAACGCTGCCGCGCTGCCCTGGTATGTGTCACTGTCTTTCTCCTCTCCCCTACATCCTGCAGTGATTACACTCCCTGCTCAAATGCCCAATCCAAGTCGAATTAGTGAACTTTGGCCTTCGTCTTGATTGATTTCTCTCCCCCACATGTGTGCTGGCCTGTCCAAAAAACTGTCACTCTTTTAATCAAACATGATCTGAATGTACATACACAGCTGATGAGATTACCACGAAATAGTTGAATTCAACACACCCTGCAATCATGATACTTCTTCTTGCTCTCATGTAACTGAAATTGATGGGCGATATCAGTTGAAGCGGTTCTACCAAGAAAACTTCTGTGAATCCTCTCGGATAGCCTGGAGGAATAGATGACCTGATTCTCAACCGGATGTGCACGGTTCGTAACAGCAGTTGAATGTTGAATGGTTCTTATCAATGAGGACATCTTAAAAGTTGAATGACATTGCTAAGGGATATGTTCGAGGAACACTCGCACTCATCAGTCATACATCCAATTTTGCCTCCAATTGTGTAGTTTAGAAGCAGCATAAAACGAATTCCCATTTTTTGCATTATGTATTGGCCATTTAGCAGCACATAAACGCAACCATGATTCCTTTTTGCGCAGAACTGTATTCGGGTGTGGATGGTTTTCAAACCTCTCCGCATATCTGAGTACAATATTCACTACTCCCGTTTGCTTTACAAGCGACATAGTGAAAATTTTCGAATACTCATAGTTGTTGATTGTGAAACCTGCTTTGAGAAAGTTTACCTACGGCTACCGAAACGTCGGTGAATATACTCCTCTACCGACATCGCTGTGCTAATAACATTATAAAATTCACATAGGTGTTGCCTTGTGCTTGATGTATTCAGGAACAGATCAAGCGAAAGAATGGAATCGAACAAGATTGACTTTCTCTCGCTCTCTCTCCGAATGTCGTTCGTTCGAAAGAAATGTTCGAACGATCTGCCGACGTACGTGCGCAAGCGGGTTGGACGACCACTATGTCAACCATTCACGTATCAAGCCAACGGAAAAGTACACGTGTCAAGGACGCAAGCCCCTTGGTTCATCTCTTTTGTTTGCTTTTTACTGTTCGATTAATCCATGCTTTCCTGTTTATTTTTTAAATATTTTACAACGACCCAGTTTGCAATAGCCCTGGACTCTCGTTCTTTACCTCTCTCTGAGGATAAGAAAGATAGGCTCTTTATGATTAATCAGAAACAGGTCGGTCGATTGATCCATGTCAAGTGCGGAGGAAAATTTATGAGAACACTTTAATAGAAGTCATTCACGGAAAATGTTCCTATTGTATGCATCATGACTTGGGAGAGAGAGGCTGGAAGGGAGAACGCAGTGGTCCCTAATCACGAATTCATCCACTGAGACAAATTATTTTGCACTGGTTTGGAGAACACAGTATTCCTCATCCATTTCGCATTTGCTTCTTCAAACAGGGCTCGTTAATGCTGTCTGTAGCTGTAAGTGTAGACAGTCTGCCAGGGGCTATTATTTTTTATTGCGATTTTTCCGTGCCTCAGTTCGATACGATTTCCGATAATGCTGAGTTACCCTAATAATTTTTCGTACAACAAAGTAGAAAAGCTATTTCGTCGTTGACCAAACGATATACCACATGAGCCTCCGATATCCCGTGTTCGAACTCCAGCCTAACCGTCAAATTTTCCTGGAATTATTTCACTTTGACAGTAAACCCTCCCGGATAACTAACCATACAATTGCTTTACCAACAAAAAGTAGATGAATTGATTAAACAAAAGAAAAAAGCATATTACTACGGAATGATACCAACTACGTTATGAATAGGAACATCCTTTACGCACGACAATAAAAATGGTATAATAAACTCAAATATATGGATGCTAACGCAATGTAATGTGGGCTCATGAGCTTACCTCCATTCCTTTCCCGAAATGTCGATATTCTGGACACAAGAGTGCGGAACCAGCGTAGGCAGCATCCACGTGTAGCCAAACATCATGTGTANATGTGTAGAGCCTGAATGGGAAAGGGGAAGCAGTGCGATCAGGCTCAGAAAAAAACAGCAGACAATATTATATGGCCGGGTTAAGAGAGCGTAGAAATGCGATACTCAGAATTAACGCAGATCAGGAATTACAAATGTGATTGAAATTGTGCTGATAATCAGTTACCAAAGTCTCCCGATACCGAGACACAGGAAGAAGGCCACAGAGATAGCGGTTTATTTCGTGGAAAAAATCAAGGCAATGAATAGGATTTACGAAGGACTGTAATTGGCTGACCCCCTGCTGACCGAACAATGTTATTGTTCTGTTTATAAGATCATTCCTGTTGGAGCCATGTAAATTGAGATTAATCCAGAACAACGGCTTCTCATCGGTCGTTTCGAGGCTGTATCGTAGCTGGTGTAGTCTCAGAGCGTTGGATTATATCAATTTATCTGGCTTGTCTGGCACACATGAGAGTATCTTGATCCCGTTCCAAGCGGCACAAGCTGCTCGTTAAAAATG